ATCTAGTTTTTTAAATTATCATTATTTTGATTATATTTGCTTTTATCATTAGCATTAGCATTACCAAAATTATTATTGTTATCAATATCATTTTTGTTCTCATTGTTATCATTATTACTATCAATCTTTTCTTATTTCTTTTTATCAGCATTATTTTCATTAATTTTGCTATTATTATCATTATCATTATTATCATTATTACTATAATCATGATTATTATTATCATCATTATTATTATTACTATTTTCATTATTATTGTTATGACTATCATTATTATTATTATTATTATCATTATTATTATTATCATTATTATTATTATTATTATTATTATTATTATTATTATTATTATTATTATTATTATTATTATTATTATTATTATTATTTATTATTTATTATTATTATTATTATTATCATTATTATTATTATTATCATTGTTATTATTATTATCATCATTATCATTACTATTATTATCATTATCATTTTTATCATTATTGTTATCAATATCATTGTTATCATCATTGCTATTATTTTTACTTTAATCATTATCATTATCATTATTGTCATTATTATAATTGGTAAAATTATTATCATTATCAATCTTACTACCATGATTATACTCTCTTTTCCATTACTGTTATTATCAGTATCATTATCATTCTTATTAGTTTTGTCGTGGTTATTATCATTATCATTATTGTTATTATCATTATTGCTATCACTGTCAGTTTTATTATCATCTTGTTATTATTATAATTATCATCATTATTATCATTATCATTGTTATTATCATTGTTACTGTTATTATTATTATCATTATTATTATTGTTATCACTACTTCTATCATTATTGTTATCATTGTTGTTATTATCATTGATGTCATGATCATCATCGTCATTATTATCATTATCATTATCATTTTTATTGATATTATCATTATCATTGTGGTCATTGTAGTTATCATTATAACTGCAACTATAATGATAACAACAACAATTATTGAAATTGTAATAGCAATGCTAATAGTGATAATGGTGATGAGTACTATGGTAATAGCAGTTGTATTATCAATGATAATGAAGATGAGGATAATAATGATGATAATGATAATAGTATATAAACAATAGTTATGATAATGACAATAGTTATAATAATAATAATGATGAGGATGATGAGGATAGTAATAACAATAACAATGATAATAATAACAATAGTAATACTAATAATGATAATAATAATAGAAATGGGGATAATAATAATAATTACAATAATGATAATAACGATAATAATGATAATGGTAATAACAATAACAACAAACTAAAACGTACCATCGTGCCATTTCCTATTATCATAATTGATTGTGTAAATGTTCATTTCAACTGATATTCAAGTACCATTTTAAAAAAAATCGTTTAGAGTCTGTTCAGTTAAAGAGAAATTTTCAAACTGCACATTTTAGAAATGGGTTCTCGTTATTCGTGCACGTTCACCGTCTCCTCAAAGGCCCTTGTGGCTCACTCTCCAACCCTCCCTTACTCTCCACGTCTCTGGTCGATCATCTTTCCATTGTACGTTATAGCTCTCGTCTCTTGTATTA